AAAGAATAAAAACTATATAGATGGAAAGCTAAACACAGGACCCTGAGAACTAGTCTCCCACGGTAGAATGTAAATAATGGTGTGAGACAGAGTTCTAAGAGACAAAACAAAACTAAAAGTCCTTGCCAACATCTTGAGCCCAGGAGCAGGTAGAAGGAGCTCTATTTTGATTATGCTTAGCCTTGATTTATGTCTGGAACCCTGAGTGGGGTGATGTAATGAACCTGCCAAGTTCTTTGATCTGTTTTGTACAAAAACTGAAGCTTTACAGAAGTAAAATTGCAGCAGATTCTCACTACACAGTGTGACTGTCTGTCATTTCCCTTGCATCGTATCCTGACTATCCTATCCTTCACCCTGTTCTCCCGTGGATAGCGGTCTCCGGGAGGGATGGTCCGTGGCATCATACCCAGCCTTATTTTCACATACACTGTGCAATATGGCGATTCTGATCACTAAATAGCCGTTTTAAAATCCACATATATTTAGTTGACAAGATGGCCTTCTTAGTTAGGTTTCTGTTCCTGTGAAGCCACACTATGACCATGGCAAGTCTTTTTTTTTTTTTTTTAAAGTTTTTTATTTATTATGTATACAGCATTCTGTCTGGATGTTTTGCCCATAGGCTAGAAGAGGGAGCCAGATCTCATTATAGATGGTTGTGAGCCATCATGTGGTTGCTGGGAATTGAACTGAAGACCTCTGGAAGAGCAGCCTGTACTCTTAACCGCTGAGCCATCTCTCCAGCCCTGACCATGGCAAGTCTTAAAGGGAAAACATTTCAATGGGGCTGGCTTACAGTCCAGAGGTTTAGTTCATTATTGCATGGCAGGAAGCGTGGTGGTGTGCAGGCAGACATGGTGCTGGAGAAAGGAGCTGAGATTGCTACATCCGGATGGGCAGACAGCAGGAAGCGAAAGCCACACTGACCAGGCTTGAGCTTCTGAAACCTCCAAGTCCCCTAGTGAAGCACTTCCTCCAAGAAGGCCACACCTCCTAATAGGGCTACTCCCTATGGGCCTATGAGGGCCATTCTTATTCAAACCACCACACAGGCTTAGCAGGTAAAGGTGCTTATTGCCAACTTGGACAATCTGAGTTTGATCCCTGGTACTCACAGATAAGAACAGATTCCCACACTTGGCCATCTTACCTCTATACTTGGTTGACATGGCATATTAGGGTTCTCTAGAGTCACAGTACTTATAGAATGAAATCCCGTGTGTATGTGTGCACGTGTGTGTGTGTGTGTGCCTGCGCGTGCATGAGTGCGTGCTTGGGGCTGATATATGGGAATGACTTACAGGCTGCAGTCCGACGTAGTTGCTCAGTCCCATGAGGCTTGGTATCTCAGCTGGTCTTCAGCACACGCTGGAATCCAGTGAAGGAGACTGAAGAGGAGAGGGCAGCAGGTGAAGAATAAACAATCCCTTCTTTCTTCCATTGTCCTGTATACACTTCCAGCAGAAGGTGTGGCCCAGATTCCTGCCTCAAGATCCAAATCAAAAGCCTGTTGTCTTCCTGCCTCAAGGTCCAGATCACAAATGTGCCTCCATTTCTGGATTATAGTTCATTCCAGATATAGTCTAGTTGAGAACCGAGAATAGGCATCAGATATGGCCCGTGTGCGCACACACATACACACACAAATAAAAATAAATGAATATGATAGCAAATTTTACTTCAGAAAGCCAGAATAATATTTAATGGCAAGTATGTTAACATATCAACATGCTAATTTAGGACAAGTCCCCTGTAAAATTATACATGTGGTCAATGGGACATGTGGATTGCTCACCTAAAGTATATAATGGATTATTATGAACCTCTTTAGTTGGTTTGGCTTGATGTTTCTTGAGACAAGATCTCATACAGCTCAGGCTGCTCTTGAACTCCTGATTTTTCTGCTTTCCCCTCATAAGTGTTGGGGTTGCAGCCGTTATCACCATGCTCAGTTTATTAATCAATAGG